AGGAAAACCTCGAATCTGGGGAGGGCGAAAAACAGGCCCAATGGGCCAACCAGAAGCTCATTCCCAAACTTCTGCTTGGGCTGTTTTTCACCCGCCCCAGGCTCCGGAGACTTTCCTGAAGCCTGAGGAGGGCAAAAAAAGGCCCACATATGTGTGTTTGTGTGTGTGTGTCACACACACATATGCACAATTTTGGCACATCTTTAGAAAAAGGTTAGCCATCACTGCTCTCTTCCATCCCTCATATAAGGTATTTACTAGATCTGTTTATGTGCTTATAAAAACTAGACACTCCAAGCTCGTGCCATTCCTCTTCCTATCTGGACTTCTAAGTCACCTCTTTCCACTGTGACTAATTTTAGGGAAGTTTACAAGAAAGTTCAGAAGTAAGGGTGACTAAGGAAGGGCCAATCCTTTTCAGCTGATTTTTAGATTTTATGTTCTGCAAGGCTTTGCAAACTTTCAGTTCAAACTTTCAGCCCAGTCAGATTTTGGTGAATATATTGTACATCTTTGTTTCTCACTTTCCAAAGAAATCCCTCTGCAGGCATCTAGTTTAATAAGTGGCACTTTAATATACATCCCTTTTTGATGTATTTCAGTTGTTTGGGACAAAAATGTTAATTAGTAGCATCTACTACTACAACTCTTATGATCCCTCACTATTAGCCATGCTTCTTAAGCTTGTTAGGTTTTGTAATGCCACAATTGAATAAATGAGCACATAGAAGACCACAGGTTCTCCATTCTGTCTTAGAAATACATTTAGTGTAGAAAGAGTGCTACAGATAGCAGCCAAATACTCAGGTTCAATTTTATAGCAATAGCAGTTAGCCTTATATACCGCTTCATAGGGCTTTCAGCCCTCTCTAAGCAGTTTACAGAGTCAGCATATTGCCCCCACAGTCGGGGTCCTCATTTCACCAACCTCGGAAAGATGGAAGGCTGAATCAACCTTGAGCCGGTGAGATTTGAACCGCCAAACTGTAGATAGCAGTCAGCTGAAGTGGCCTGCAGTACTGCACTCTAACCACTGCGCCACCTTGGCTCCTAATTTTATTATACAGTAGTTACTGAACAATTCTCCAGTTCATGCTTGCAATAGGCAACACAACTCTCTGGATATCCCCCTCCCACCTTAAATTTTCCAATGTAATTACAGTCACACCGTTCCAACATGTGTTTAGCTCAAATTGTTGTGGATACTCCTCATACACAGTAATGTAATGTTTTGATTTTGGTGCTATTCATATTTTGCTTTGTAATTCACAATCCTGAGTGGCCAGGGTGGCCTGTAATCATTGCATAAATAAATACAATTAAAACATTCAAATAAAGTAACATAACCCTTAGTAAGTGCACATGGACCATTCTGTTAACAATCCAGTGCACTGTTTGGGGGCAATTTAAAAGCTCTATAATACAATATATTATAAGGCAGCAGCCCCAGGGACCAGTTCCATGGAGAGGGGCTTTTCTATGGACCAGAGGGGGCATGGTTTCATGTACTGCCTGCATCCCACAGATGGGATGTTTCCCTGGCCCAGTTTCTGTCATGCCACAAACCGCTGCTGGTACACTGATTGGGGGTTGGGGATCCCTGCTATAAGGGATACTCTATGTCAGGTTTGTACATCCAGTTTTCAATGGTTGCATTTGCAGAGTCTTAATCAGTATTATTTTCTGTTTTAGCATTGCCTACACTTTGTCATTTCAATGCATAAGGGCATTTAATAAACCAGCCAGAATCCATACCTCTGAATCTTGAAAGTGATCTAAAAGGGGACTAGGTCTTATTGCCAGAAGCTTAAATTAAGCCAGTAATTAATTCTTAATCATATTTTGGAATCCAGCTTTATCATTTGTTTCTGAAAATCAAAGTGCTACATTCAAGAAGCAATTTGACACCTGAAAATTTTCTTTTACGGACTAGGATTGTGTAGTCTTTATTGCTTCTTAAAGCAATATATCTATATCTATCTACCTACCTATATCTCTTAAAGCAATATAGCTTAAAATATATATTAGGAAAATTAATTGAGGTATCAGTATAGTTAAGAGGGAGAGAGATTTATTTATGTTGGTCACTTAACTCCAGTGTTAATTTTTGCAGCAGAAAAAAGTTATCTGAAACATTGGAGTATAGGAATTTAACAAATCTATTCTGGCAAATTGAAGATACCCCTTCCCCCAAAAGCCAGAAAGAAATGCTAGTCATTAATTAACATACCAAAACCTCAAAAACAATTATCAGTATGAAATTACCATCTGCTAAGCAGGCAAACATGCCCATGGAAGTTTGATTTCTCAAATTGACTTCTTGTACTGTCAGTTAAAAATGATTTTCAAATGGAATGTTCAATGGTTTTCTTAAGCAGTTTTTTAAAAAGATGCAAAATGAAATAATGTGAACATGCTCCTAAATTGCTGCCTAGTTTAAAATTTACTTCTCACTGAGATTTACTTCTGGCCTCACTAAAGGCTTGGAAACAATCTATATTTTTCCTTGAAATATTTTCATTTTTTTCTCTGAAAAATTAAAGGTTATGAGAATTTCCCAATATATTATTTTTAAATAATGTGAAATGTTTAAGATGTGAAAAAAGGTCTAGAAATAATGTTGTAAAAGGCAAATTGGTACTGAAACAAAACTCCAGTTTACAGAGTCCCTGAAAACTACCAGAATTGAAGCTGCTGATGGCAAGCTGGGCAAATCAATGCAAAATATGTTCAGCTTTATTCTGAAAAGTAGTGCTTTCTATAGGTATGTTTGATGTATTGGTGGAAAAATCTAGAATACATAGTTTTCTTTGTTTTACTACAGAGTTGATGATTTTGTATTGTTTTTTGCCCACATTCCTACAAAGCAGGTAAACCTGAGATGTTACGTTCTTGGGGTTCAACAGTTCCATTTCTCAGGCTGGGGGGGCGAAATTATACGCCCCTCAGAGAGGGTTCGCAATTTGGGAGTCCTCCTGGACCCACAGCTGACTCTAGAACACCATCTGTCAGCTGTGACCAGGGGGACCTTTGCCCAGGTTCGCCTGGTGCACCAATTGCGACCCTACCTGGATCTGGAGGCCCTTCAGACAGTCACTCATGCCCTTGTGACCTCAAGACTGGATTATTGTAATGCGCTCTACATGGGGCTGCCCTTGAAGAGTGTTCAAAGATTCTAGTCCAGAATGCAGCCG